TCAACCTGATTTAAAAATGGGCAAAAGACCTGAACAGACACATAACCAAAGAAGATACACAGATAAGCATGTGAAAAGATGCTCAACTTTATATGTCATTAGGGAAATGGAAATCAAAACAATAATGAGACATAAATGCACACCTATTAGAACTCCCAAAATCCAAAACATTAATACCACCAAATACTGGTGAAGCTGTGGAGCAACAGGAATCTCATTCATTGCAAGTGAGGATGCAAAATGGTACATCCACTTTGGAAAAGAGTTTGGCAGTTTTTTATAAACCTAAATGTATTCCTATACCATTTAAGAATCATGCTCCTTTATATTTACCCAAATCAGCTGAAAATTTATGTTCACACAAAAATATGCACACAGATGTTTATAGCAGCCTAATTCATAATTACCAAATATTGGAAACAACGAAGATGCTCTTCAGTAAGGGAGTGGATACATAAGCTGTGGTACATCCAGACAATGGAATATTATTCAGTGCTTGAAAGAAATGAGCTATTAAGCCATGAAAAGAGATGGAGGAACCTAAAATACATAGTACTAAGTGAAAGAAGCCAATCTGAAAGACTACATACTGAATGATTCCAACAATATGACATTGTGGAAAAGGCAAAACCATGGAGACCATTAAAAACCAGTGATTTCAAGGGATTAAGGGGAAGGGAGGGATGAGTGGATGAAGCAGAGTGGAAGAGTGAATCCCAGAGGACTTGGGGATAATGAAATTCTCATATATGATCCATAGTGATAGATACATGTTTTGACATTTGTCAGAACCCATATAATGTACAAAACCAGGAATGAACTCTAATGTAAACTGTGGATTCTGGGTGATAACGATGTGTCAGTGTAGGTTTATTGATTGTAACCAATGTACCACTCTGGTGGGGAACACTGATCATGGAGGACATTATGCATGTGTAGGGGCAGGGGGCATATGAGCACTCTCTGTACTTTCCACTTAATTTTGCTGTGAATCAAAAATTGCTTTAAAAAATAGTCTATTTAAAAAAAAGTTGAAAAGATGCCATGTTTGAAGAATGTTCCCAGAGTGAGCACAATCTCTACTCCGTCCCTAGCTGCTCTTCTTGGAAGAACTATGTGGATTAACAATGGTACCGTACATGTGAAAGACCACCTGGAAACCCCAAAACCTTCTGTGATGGATGCTAAAGGGAACTTCTCATGGAGAAACCAGAACTATGTCATCCAGTCTACTGAAATTGATGATAAGACCCTGACCTAGGAAATGGCTATGGAATTGGGGAGGGAGGAACAGACTGGAAAAAAAAGACTTGATGATTGCTAGCTTTTTGGTGTGAGGGCAGGGAGGACAAGAGGAACATTTATTTTTCACTATGTACTCTTTGTACCTTTCCAAAATTGTATATTACCTGTTTTTAAATAAAGTACTTTAAGGACCGGCCCGTGGCTCACTTGGGAGAGTGTGGTGCTGATAACACCAAGGCCACGGGTTTGGATCCCTATGTAGGGATGGCTGGTTTGCTCACTGGGTGAGCGTGGTGCTGACAACACCAAGTCAAGGGTTAAGATTCCCTTACCGGTCATCTTTTAAAGTAAATAAATAAATAAAATAAAGTACATTAAAAAAATAAATGTGTGAGAGAGAGACAGAGAAAGTAGCTGAAGAGACTAAGGGTTAGAGAAAAATCGGTAGAGGGTAATGACATATATGCCAGGACAAGAG